TCCTGTAGAAACAGCTTAACTATGCACAGTTTGTTCTTATAATTATATTAATTTAATGAAGTAGTATTCAATCTGTATATCATCATCATTCGCAATCTTCTGTCCCTGTATTTGGCAAAGGACTTGCAAATAGGCATAAAGATCGTTTTTTAAAATCTTCCTGAACAAATCTCTTATTTCTCAGTTGATTAATTTGACAAATTTTGCATAGAAACTTTAATGCTACTAGAAGTATTAGTGCCTTTCAGTATAGCTTGCAGTAGCTCCATCAGAAGAAGGCATATATTTGACCGTAACTTGCCAGTGGTTTTGTACTCCCATTATACTTTTTTTTTAAATTATAGATATTGCTTGACTATCAATAGCCTTGTGCCTTCATGAAACTAATGCATGTAGCCAGCGCTTATATATACTGATTACGAGACCATTACACTTTTACTTTCGTGATAGAAGAATTCTTAATCCCTGTCATTATGCGTTATGTGATTACCATTGAAGTGATGTGCTCATCCTGGAACAGTTCATGAGGGAAGATGGCACAGTTCTTCCCCGCCAGCTCACAGGATTATGTAAAAAGCAGCAGCTACGATTAGAAAGATTAGTTTTAAACATTACCTTTACTCTATACGAAAATTCAACGTCACCGTTTAGATGTGTGATGCAAGCTCATTGGGCAGGCCTATTCCCGGACCGAACTGTGCCCGATTTTGACAGAACGGGATATAAACGATTTGAAAGGTTTGCCTCTATTGCTTTCTTGTCTTCAATGTCTACATTTCGCGATTTGGGCTTTGTTTCAGGTATTGGAACGATGATATGGACATGTATAGATTAAGAGAAAAAATTGAAAATGGGACATGGTTCTATATAAAGCGATACAATACTGAAAATCAGAAAGTTTCTAATAGGAAAACAAAATAATATGCTATATGTAGGAAGATACGTTGTTTGTTGTATGAGCTTTGTTATTTACTACTTACTGTACCGTTGAAAAAGTAAACTTTCATGAGTTTTGCTAGTTGTTGCACTTCAGTCTGTTGAGTCAGTTGCTACATTATTCTCAATGGCTCTGTTTCCGTTAACGTGAATTTGTATTTGAATTGCAGATCTCATGTATGTGATCCTGAAATAGGGGAAATTGGCATGTTCAGTGGTAATTTCCCACAAATGCCATTTCCGATAACCGCAGGTTCCATGCCGCTATCACAACTTCTAATATGCTTTCTAGTGTGCATATGCGGTAACTGCCTTTCACTGCAAGATAAGAAGTTTGTTCGCTTCCATGCTTGTGATTGCAACA